GAGGTTCAACTTTTTTCTTGCATGTGGATTTCCATTTGCTCTGCACCACTTGTTCTAAAGATTATTCTTTCACTATTGAATTGTCTTGGTATCATTACTGAAATCCAATTGATGATAATCAAAAGGGTTTCTGAATTATTGATTGTATTCTATTGATCTATATGTCTGACCTTCTACCAGTAACACACTTCATTACTTTCTGGGCTTATAATAAGTTTTGAAACCAGAAGAGTGAGTTTTTAAATTTGTGCTTCTTATTCAAGATTTTTTGGCTATGTTAAACACCTTGAAATTCCACATGAATTTTAGGATTATCTTGTCAATTTCTGCAAAAAAGGCAGTGGGGATTTTGACAGGGATTGTGTTGAAATCCATAAATGAATTTGGAGAACACTGCCATCTTAAAAATGTTAAGTCTTCAAGTCTACCAACACAGAACTTCTATTTAAATCTTTCTTAATTTCTTTCAATAACATTTTCTGTTTAATTTTCAGTGTACAAGTCTTTTATTACTTTTGTTAAAATTTATTCCTAAGTATTTTGTTCTTTTGATGTGATTATAAATGGAGCTGCTTTCTTAATTTAATTTTCAGCTTATTTACTAATGGAATACTAAAATGATTTTTTGTATATTGATTTTGTATCTTGAAACGTAGCTACCTATTTAATCATGTCTGTGTATGTATGTATGTGTGAATTCTTTAGAATTCTCTGTTCACAAGATTCTGTGATTCATGAAAAGAGAGTTTTGCTCCTCCTTTTCATCACCCACCCTTTAAAAAATATATATTTCTTGCCCAAGTACCTTGGCTAAAACCTCTTACATGAGAAATCCAAAGTATTAATAAAGAGTAAAATAAAAGATAAATAATAGGAAGTAGGGAAATAGATCTTTTTCAAAGGGAAAGAGGATCAAGAGATGGAGGGAGAGGGTTGGGGAAGGAGGGAAAAGGGATGAAAAAGTTAAGTATGATGCCAGCTGACAATATCTACAGGTGCCTTTATGAGACTGAAGAAGTTCACATTTATTTCCAGTTTGCAGAATTTTTTTCATTTTTCTTCCATCAAGAACGATTTTGAATTTTGCCAACTGCTGTTTCTATGTCTAATGAGGTAATTATGTGTGGTATTTGTCCTCTATTAACACGGTGAACTACAATGATTGACTTTAGGAAGTTAAATCAACTACACTTTTTTTTTGGTACTGGGGACTCAGGGACTTGCATTTGCAAGGCAGGTGGTGGCACCACTGAGCTAAATCCCTGGCCCTCAACTATACTTTCTTAGGATGACTTCCATTTGGTCAGGATTCATAATTTTTTACATTGTTTGATTCAGTTTGGCAATATTTCACTGAGTAATTTTGCTTATTTTATATAGAATACTGGTTTGTGACCCTTCTTATAATGACTTTTATTGGATATCAGGATAATACTGGCCTTCTAAAATGAGTTGGGAAATAGTCCCTCCTCCTTTATTTTTGGGGAAAAAGGCTATGAAGAATTGGTGGTGATTGTTTTGTGGATGGTTGAAGTAACCAGCAAAGCCATATAGGCCTAGAATTTTCTTTATAGAAATATGTTGACTGCAAAGTCAATCTCTTTACTTGTTCCAGGTCACTTCAGAGATTCAATTCCTTCTAGGATCAGTGTTAACATTTTGTTTCTGTAGTAATTAATTCTACTTATCAACTCGATTGGGCCAAGGAGTGCCCAGATCAAACATTATTCTTGATGTGTCTGTAAGTAGATTTCCAGATGAAATTAACATTTGAGTTGGAGGGCTCATTAAACCAGGTGGCCCTTCTCAATGTTGATGGGCATCATCAATCCAGTGTGGTCCTGAATAGAACAAAAGGCAGATGAAGGTGGAACTCACCCCTTTTGCATACCGCCTGCCTGCTTTGACTAAGATACTGTCCTTCTGCTGTCCTTTAACTGAAATTTATTATACTATTGGCTCCCGTTTCTGAGGCATCCAGACTTGGACCCAAATTATATCACTGGATTTTGGGAAACTGCAGCTCAAAGGCCAAAGATCGTAGGAGTTCTTAACCCCTATAATCATGTGATCCCTTGGCTCATAATAAATCAATCATTCCTTTTCCTTCTTCCTTCCTCTTTCTCCTTCTCCTCATCCTCCACCCACTCTCTCCTCCCTTCCTCCCTCCTCTCCCTCTTTTTCTCCTCTTAATTATGTTTCTCTGGAGAACCCTTACAAAAGTATCTTTATAGGAATTTTTCCATATATTTTGTTCGACATACAACTGTTCACAGTATTCTCTTATCCTTTTTATTTTTGTGCAATCTACTGGTCCTTATTTCCTGATTTTGAGTTGTCTCTATTTTTTACTTAGGAAAACTTTTTACTGGGACTAAAGATTTGTCAATTTTATTGATTTTCTCAAAGAACCAACTTTTGGTTTCACTGACATTCCCTATTGTTTTTCTATTTTCTCAATTAATTTTCTCTTCAATCTCCACTGTTCCTTTCACTTCCTTTCTTTGGGTTTAGTTTGCTCTTCTTTTTTTATTTCCTTAAGATGTATGGTTAGGTTATTGCTTTGAGATTTTTCTTTTTTTAATATAAATATATATAGCTATAAATTTCCCTTTAAGCATTGCTTTAACTATGTCCTATAAGTTTTGATATATTGTTTTCATCTTCATTCATCTCAAAATATTTTCCACTGTCCTTTGCAGTATCTTCTTTGATTATTTGGTTATTTAGAAGTACGTTGTTTGATTGCCACTTATGTGTGAATTACCAAAATTATCTTTTGTTATTTATAATTTCATTTAATTTTAGCCAGATAATATACTTTATATAATTTCTTAAATTCCTGTAACAAATGAGTTCTTATACTTTACTGAGGGCATGTGTGTGTTGGGGTGCAGCGCATAATTCTGCCTTAAGCTTTACTTTCTGCTTACATTGAGCTCCAAGTCAGCCCGAAGTGAGAGTTTATAGCCTTTACAAGTCTTTCCTAAGTGTGGGCATAGCCTTGGGCAGTCACATAGCCCTCTACATACCTACAGCCTTTTAGAGTCTTAGGAATATGTTAGAACTTCTAATGCCAACTATGAGATTCTTCCTTTGGTTTTCCTTTTAAGTGAATTGGTCAACTTCTTATTTCCTCAACTCTTATTGCTACCTTAGGCACCTGTGATGTTAAGTTATTGTTGCTGATTGCGTTTTACACATATGGGTAAAAGGCTTGCATTGAGCAAGCCCAACCAGGTGAAACAAATACATGTCCCTTGAATGGAGGTGTAAAAGTAACTGCCAGACAGGTCAAATAATGACAATATTCTGAGCACTGTTAGGGATGGGGTGGGGTGGGAGGCTCTACTATCCTCCTCCCTCTGATGCACCTAAATTTACAGTGACTGAGGAGCTGTTGGGTTTGAAGACTATTGTGGAGCTGAAAAGAGGGAGTATATAGAAAGAGTATATGGAAATGAGTACATGGAAATGAGTATATGGGAAGTAAAAATGCTGCAAGCTTGCTGTTTTTACCAAAATTCAGTTGTTTGTCTTTACTAAACACTTTTTGGATTGTTATGAGCCTTTGATTACTTTCTAGCATATGAAAAGTTGACTTTGGTAATTTTTGTTAATGTTTTTGTTGCCTTTTAGGTAGGAGTATATTTTTGGAGATTTCTGTGCTGCTGTTATTGATGTCCAAACTCCTTAACTTTAAATTAAAACTATGCATACTCAGAAAGTCTAATATTTTCTCCCAACCTTCTGACACATCGTTCAGTGCACCCCATTTAGAAGATGCCAGAATAAAACCTCTCTTCAAAGCCAACTGAGGTATTTATATATCTGAGGGTCGTATCACATGGCATCACATGATTATGATGGCTCCTTCAGTTTCTCCAGATCTCCTCAGGGAAGCTGTACTCTCCCAGTTCAGTGGGATTGAAGCTCTTAGAATTATGCAATACTCCTTTACCCTCCTGCTCCTACAGGACTCCAGCCTTCCTTCACAGGACCCCCCTTTCCACAACCAGCACTCCACTATCTCTTGTGTGCCACCAGTCCTTCTTTACCCTGTTTACCAGCAAGGACTGAAGCTTCATATAAATGCCACTTTAGCCAAGCCACTCCAGGGCTGAGAGACTTCCACCAACTTCGTGTCTTCTGGATAAAATCTAGTCTTTTTCATGTGGCTGTCCAGGTTTTTATAATCAAGACCCAACCTGATCTGGAAATCAAACAAGCTGGTTCTGATTCCAGCTTAGTTCTATGGAACATTTTGTAGTTATTGCACTTATTACTTATTAAAGTTTTGTACTTATTACTTATTATCAAGCAACTTCTCCATGCTAGACTTAGAGTTAGTCCCAGGAGGCATAGATAAGTAAAGCTGAAGTTATTGCTTGTGTTAGAATCTATGTAGGAGGATCAATTAGGACATTTGAGACTGTGACTTTGAAAAGTATGAACAGCGGAGAAGGCAAAGGTATTACTGTGCCCCCCCCCTTTATTTATCTACCTTTAGGAAAATACTCTCCAAAGTGAGTTGAATGTCAGTGGTGCTAAATGGTTCTGTAATGGGTTTTCTTCATCAGATACAAGAAAGTGTTGCGAGAATCCTGGAGCTTCTGCATACAAAGGAGGCCAATAACCAGTGGCATCTTTAAAGCAGGAGTGGCCCCAGAGGAGAACAGGCAGGGAATACACATGTACAGTCTTTGTGAATAGCCTTACAAATATTAGTTATTATTAAAGCTATTTTTATAAATATAAACAAATAAATAAAAATTATAGTCATTTTTTGTTTTATTACCTATGTACCCTAAGTCTTTGTGTCTTCATCCAAACATTGGTTTGGGCAATTTAATGAGAATTAACATTTTATTTCAGTAGATAATTTTCGTAGGGAATCTTCTGTGAATAGTTCTATAATCACAATGTGAAAACAATGATTATTGGTGTTTCACTTTCATAATAAAAAACAGTCATGGAGGAAAAGAAATACAGTTACTTACGTTTTGGTTTTAACTGTTCGAGGATGGAATTTTCTCCCCTGCACATGGTTCTGAAAGTATGTAAACAAATAATTATGCAGGTTTCAAAACAACCAGTTCCAACTGCAATAACTGTGCATATAATTCTATCACAGCAAACACAGAGCAAGTGCTTCTATGAGAAGATGGTATGCATATTTTAAAAAGCAAGAAAATTACATGAATATCACTTATGTAACTAGCAGAACAAAGTAGTTGTTTTAAAGGGAATAGATGGAAAAGTTATGAAATTGATGGTAGAGTTCAGAAAGAGTAATTTTTAAAGGATGGGTTATGAATGAACTTTCCTTTTTACAAAATCTGGTGACAGCAAAGATAAATTTAAAATGCCTCAACAGACAAGAATACTTCCAGGATCATGTTGCTTTCCAAGGTGAAAAGGGCAAACCCTTAGCAGAGTAACTTAGAAATCAAGGAAACAATTACATTAGGTTGTCTCTATAGTCAGCATACCCCCTTAAAAATGAAAAGCACAGGGTCATGATTCTGCTGATTTTGTTTCTCAACACATAATAGTTGATAAATTATAAGACTGAAAAAAAATTCTATGTTCCATCTGCTTGCTCTATGAAAGTAATTAAAAATCCAGTTATGTCTGGGAAACACTGAAAAACTAAAGATGATGCCAGAAAATAGAGATGTTTTTGCATAATAAAAGGTTATAGTTTGGGTTGCTAAACAAAAGCCAAACATGTATTTCATTCAACTGGTTCAAACTCAAGAAAACAGTCATAGGAAATAATTACAATTGACAGTATTCCAAAAATAATATTACAATGGCAAATGAAGCAAGTAAAATCCAGTTAAACATTATGTCAGTGGACTTAAATACTTGAAAAGTTTTATGTGTCATGTTGTGAAGCAGATAACTTTAGAAATGGGCAAATCTTCAATCCAAGCATATAGACCAAAGCACAGTTAAAGTTTTCTCATACCCTACCAAAAACAAACAAGTAAAATGATTACTTGAAACCCTGGGAGATAGACAGATACAAGCTTGAAAAGTCAGTCAGAAGCAAGGGGATTAAAAAAAAAATTCCAAAACCTGGCATGCCTATAATCTCAGCACTCTGAAAGGCTGAGGCAGGAAGGTTGCAAGTGTGAGCCCAGCCCAGGTAACTTAGTGACTTAGAGAGATCCCATATCCCAATAGTAAATAAAAAGGGCTAGAAATTTAGCTAAATGTGAAGGCCCTGGGTTCAATTCCAGTGCTGAAAAAAACAATCCCACCCCTATGGTGACTCAACTGTGCCTTCAGAACCTCCCAAACCCTCCCGGGCCACTGCTGGGGAGCAGTCCAAGCAGGAGGGCACCTAAGCCCCACTCTAACTGGACCAACCCCCTGAGCCCTTCTCTGATTTACAAATGCAGGGTGCTGTGTAAGGTCGTATAACCTCCCTTCCACCTCTCAAAAAGGTTTGATTAGAAAAGTAAGAAATGACAGATGGCTTGAGAAAACAAGAGCAAGTGAAAGCAACTCTCCTGGTCTGGTCTTTGCCCTGACTTACGAGGAGTGGGATCCTGCACGGGCTCTTCTGTCTCGGGGCAGAGCTTGTAACCGGAGTGGACTCTGCATGACCAGGCATACACACTCGCCTCTCTGCTTCCCTTCTCTTCCCAGTAAGTGACCAAGGACAAGTCTGGGGGTGCCTTTCTGTCACCTGCTGTACTGCTCACCTGGCAGGCACCTCTCACCTCATCACATGGCTTGAAGCTCAGGGGGACCTAAGTGTGTCTTTCTGAGTGAATACGTAACTTGAGTTTTTAAAACACCCAGCACAGGGCTCACAACTTTTTCTAGAATTTTAACAAAGATGTAATAGAGAAATCGAATTAGAATTCTAGGAGTTAGGAATTTTCGTTTCCTAACAAAAGTTAATATTGCCAACCTTGTTTGAGGCTGCTACCTAAAGAATCATAATAAAATGCACTCAACTCATACTATTTTAGGCATTTAATTCTAGCTAATGAAAAGAATATGGAAAGCTCAGTTACTATTTAGTGACTGAAAGATGATCTTTAATCAATATTACATATGTATGACAAGCAATGAATATATAAAACAACTAATATTTTGGTTCTTTTATACTTGCTGTGTATCTTAAGTCCATTATTTATGATTTTAGGCTCCATTTGAACTTTATCAATTAGTAAACAGGGTAAAATTTCAAAGTAAAATAGTGAACCTTTGTGCAATGCTCCACTGAACAGATGCGTAGAAACATTGCCAGTCCCTTCCCGAGATCTGTGCATAACTGAATGAAAGGTCAAAATAGACTATTTTGCATTTTGGCACCTGTAGTTGAAGTGCATTATGGCCTGCAGAGCATTTCCTCCTCCAGTTGAAATGTCTCCTTCGAATCCCGGCAGAAGTGGTATCACAACATAGACCCGGTATCGCTTTCCTTCCCTGTAAAAGTCAGATGCACAGAAACTCATCAAAACAAAACCAAAAATAAGAAAGACAAAGCGCCAGTTAAAATGACAGCCAAGCAGTTCACACGGCTTTAGAGATGGAGTGAATGGTTCCCACAAAACACTCTCTCCCGTCAGTGCTTGGGGGGTGCTGAGCGACTGGAGGCCAGAAGCTGTATCCAGGCTATCAATTCATAACTCGAACAATACACTCAACTTGGCAGCAAAGTGGGAACTGTACTCACTTTCTCTCTTCGGCATACCCTTTGTAAGATAACATTCAGAGTAAGAAAGCCTTCCTTAGACCTCATGAAATGGGGGAAGGGGGTTATAACAGTTTCGAAAAAGATGTTATCATAATATCCAGATGCATAACGCTATATCAGCAGTACCTAGCTCACAGCCTGGCAAGTAGCAGGCCTTCAGTTTCTAACTGCTGAGTAAATACATTCCCACAGCCCTGACCTCAGGGCTAAAAAGACACATTGGATTCAGCGTCTTTTCCAGCATAGGAGTTAATGTTTAGGAATTCTCAGGTTTCAGCTCCAAAATGTTTCCCAAGGCTCTTTAAGAATTCAGTGACTGATGTTTAGTTTTAAATTCCCTACCCAGGTAATACAATATTACTTGGCCCACCCTCCCAACTGATTAATGACATCTTTTGAAGGAAAAGGACTCTGCTTAATGATGTAACAATAAAAGAAGAAAATGTCAGCTCTATTTTGACATGCACCCAGAAACTCAGAAATACGAATAATTATGTTTTAATTAGTACCACTGAAATGAACCTCTGCACTGTTAAGGTCCATGTCTCCACTTATAAGACATACTCACTTACTGTTTAATTTTCAAGTCTGATCCTACTTAAACTTTTCATAATACTTATTTACTAAGCTCAAAATATTTTTTCTTTCTGGTTTTTTTTTTTTGGTACCAGAAATCAAACTTGGGTCCCTGCACTTGCAGGGCAGGTGGTGAAACCACTGAGCTAAATCCCCAGCCCCAGCATATTTTTTTCTTTCATGGGAATGTCACTATGACTGTGAAGGTTCCCATCTCATTCCTGATGACACTGGCCATCCACATGTATATCAGGGTGTGGGCAGAATGTGAAGTTAAGGGTGGAAGTGGCTGTCAGCGGGAAGGGATTTAGAGGCTGTGAGCCAGAAAAACAAGTAATTTTAAGTAGGTTGTTGTAATGGCATGTATTAATCACTAGATGGCAAACACAGTTTGAGTTGGAAAGAAAACCAAAAATTGTAAACTGTCCAAGTTATCCGCTTGATAAGGATGAAATGCACAATCCGTAAATAGTAAATGGCATAATGAAAAAGAATAGAAAAGAATACCAGAGCTATTTTCCTACAGCCAGTTTAAAGATCAAATGAGTTACACTGGACATTTAGGAATTGACACCACTTGGCCTCATCTGCCTTTCCGGAATCTTTTTCCATTCAGTTTAATCCTCCCATACCCACACCCTCACACCAGTGATGGGGAAGAAGGCCCCCAGTTCAGAGGGCTTCTCCCTACTAAAGAGCATGGCCCATCAGCTCTCAGCCTAGAGGGCACTCCACCGTTAGAGGCTCCTCCTTCCCTTCAGCCTCCCCGGAGGGAGGACCAGTCAGAGCTGGGGTATTCATGCCTGTGCACCCACTGCACATGCCCGGAAGCCTATCCGGCCCCCTCTCTGCTTTACATGCTCGTGAGAGCCACGTCTGCTGCCCAGGTACTGCTATGGAATGAGCGCCTCCGAAATGCAGGAAGAGCATCCACAAAGCTTTCTATTTTGAGTAGTGCCCAGTAGAGGACCCTTGTGCACAAAGCTTGCTTTGGGAGTGCGGGGTCAGGTGAGAAGGACGTTCATTTCTGGGGAGGCCTCTGTAGAGAAGAGGTTAGGGTCCGCATAAGTTTTCCTTTAAATTACATTTTGTTTGAATTTTTATTGAGGCTGAAAGATAGCCAGGTGTGGGGGTGTAGGGGCTCTGCCTGTGATCCCAGCCCTCAGGGGACTGAGGAAGAGTAGCAAGTTTGAGGCCAGCCGGGCAATTTAGCAACACCCTGTCTCATAAAACAACAACAATAATAAAACAAAACAAAAGCTTGCCATTTAATCCATTTTTAAGTATATATTCTGGGCCATCAATTGCATTCATGAAGTTGTGCAACCATCACTACTATTTCTAAAACTTTTCCATCATCCCAAACAGAAGTTCTGTGACTATTAAATGAAAACTATCTCATTTCCCCTTCCCAAAGCCCATGGAAACCTCTAATCTACTTTCTGTCTTTATGATTTCCCTATTCTAAATTTTTCATATAGGTAGAATCATGCAAATTTTCCTTTTGTGTATGACTTATTTTACTTAGCATAACATCCTCAAGGTTCATCCATGTGGTGGCATGTCTCCAAATTCTTTTCCTTTTTATGTCTGAATAATATTCTGTGCTATGTATATACCACATTCATCTGTTCATGGGCACTTAGGTTATTTTCCCTTTCTGGCGTTGTGAATAATGCTACTGTCCTTGGCTTACAGTCTATGAGTCCTAGTTTTCAGTTCATTTTGGTGTATATTCAGAAATGGGATTATTGAGTCTTACGGTTACTCTTTGTTTAGCATTTTGAGGATCTACCAAATAAATCATACTTTCCAGTGGGTACCATATGCTCACAGTATAACATTTAAGAGGCAGAAGATGATATGGTGAAAAAATTCTTTCACTCTTTTGTCTTAAGCCCTGAATCCCCTCCTGAGTGCAGTTCTTGTCAGTTATTTTCATGTTCTTTTAGAAGTAGTTTGTGAAATTCTAAGAGTGTGTGTGTGTGTGTGTGTGTATTCTTTCCTTCTACTATTTTATAGTATTGTAAACGTTTCTCAAAACTCTTTCTGCATCAGAACATAGTTACTTACAATAGGGACCTAGGATCCACCACACATCTATCTGTACCTAAGTATTTAAACCATTTCTTTATTGATGGGCTTTGTTTCTGATATTTTGTTATTTTCAAATAACTACTTTGATATATATGCTGAACCACATAAGCCATTTGTCACATTGTTTTCGAAAAATCTTAGCAGTGGTGTTGTTGACCTGAAAGCTCAATCTCTGAGACGCAATATTGGGGAGATGATTCTATTTCATCCTTGTGTTTTTTAAAAGCAAAAGTGACTTCAAAAACAGAGATCTCTCAGCCATAAAGAATGAAAAACTAGAGACATTTATAGCTAGATGTATGCATATCAAGGCCATACTCAAGTGAAATAAATAGGACACACACGTGTAAATACTGAATTGTCTCTCTGGTGTGAGAAACTGAAAGTGTAAATAAGGACCAAAATGTATAGTAGATAATGTGAAATAGGAAGAAAAGGGGCAAAGGGGAAGAAGTGGGATGGGAGAGGGAAAGGAAAGAAGGGAAAGAAAAAATATGAGAAAAGAAGGGAAAAAATGAAACAAAGCTTTGGTAAACAGGGAGGGGTGGAGAGGTAGAAGGGAGGGAAGGGGAATGGGAAGAAACAAGAATTAAGATATATCATGTACAGGTACAAATTCCTAATGATGAATGTGATCATAATGTACACCTAAAATGTACCAATAAAGTTGATTTTTTTAAAAACGGAGATCTCATATGTAGGATGTTGAGATATGCCTATAAAAATCTTATAAAACACTCTCACAATCTTTAGTTTGTAAGAATCAAAATATTATTCACATTTTCTTGTTTTTTGGACTCTCTTATCTCCATATCAAGGCCTTTGCTATTTTATCATGCACTTGATCCTCCTCTTAAAGGAAGGAAATTTTAAATTGTTTAGCACCTTACCTTGCACAACTTACCCTGTCATACCACCAATCAGAGCAAAGCAACACAACATGCTGTCACTTTACCCAAAAGTGACATTTTCACTCTGCCCCTTCTTGATGGCTCAGTGGGTCATTACCAAAAGACCCACGAGTGCTTCTAAAAAGAGGAATTACTTGGACTTTTCACTGAAATTGAGAAAGGGCTCTGGAATTTCAAGCTATAAGATTGAAGTTGAATGTAAGCCAAAGACTGTGTCGGACACATCTAATCTGTCTCCTTGATTCAAGCATGCAGTCAGAGCTGTAGAGGTTCTAGTCCCCTCCTGAAACACTGCATCCTCATGGCACTGGGACTGTGCAAATGGCAGCAATGAGATTATGGGAAGAGCCTGAGTCCCTAATGTGCAAAATTATTCACGGCATTAAAAGCAAGTTATGAGCTGGTGGGCGATAAGTAACTACCCGACAGATAGGCGATCACCTCATCCACTTGCATTCAGAAAAACTTTATAAAACTACATTCTCAAGCTTCTTGTTAAAATTAGCCTTTCTTTCAAAATTCATTAACTCTTATGGCAATGCTATGTTTGAAAGCTAAAAATCTGACATAAATGTCCAGTAAAAGAAGGATGATTAACTAAAGTACATTATAGCCACCTAATGGAATGACCATCTTGCAGTCACTAAAAATGACCAAAGTAATAACTTGGCAGCAAAATACTTCTGGTGCCAATAAAAAAAGGGCCCAATGCAAAGATGTCATTAAATGACAATACAAATGTGGTAGCTGACAGTAAGAAATATTGAAGTATTTCTCCTTCAAATGTGTTAATGTCCCCCATACTGTGCTTGATGCCCTAAAGTAGGTATTGCTCCTGGGGTGGCACCTTATGAAAGATATCAACCTTTTAGATTTAAGAAACTAGAGTGAGATGCTCTGAGCTGAGGTAGGAGCATAACAAAGTAAGCAGGAAACAATGTAGGGATTTTTTTTTATGCAAGCAGATTTCCAGAAAAAACAGGACAGACCTCACTCCCTTTTAACATGCAGCTATGAGAGCCATGACGAGCTGGGCCTGTGTCCAGGTAGTCCTCAGAGTACTTGGAGAGTGTGGTCCAGCCACCCCCATGGTGTGGTAGCACCAGGAGAAAGGGCAGGAAGGCAACATTGAAAGGACAAGGCTG